TCTTGTTCGGGACTTTTTACTTTTGTTCGGCAGTGTTAGGGGGAGATGAGTATGATGAATAGTTTGGAGAATTTAGGGGTAGCCGTTTGGCGTGTCGTCAGAATTTTAGAATAATTCGGATGAATGTTTTACTTGATACTTATAGTTTATGGGGCAAAGCTTAACGAGTCTGACAACGTGTTGTAATGATAATGTCGAATTTTATTCTCGAATTTCGCGTGAACAGCTTCGCATAAACCGATGCAGGTTATGCAAATTGGCCTGGGCAACGTCTAGACCTATAAAATCAGGAGTCTTTCCATTCTAGAGACACCTTCACAGTCGAGCCAATAAAAATCCTATTGAAGATAGTACCAAACTTAAGATTCAAGATCTGTTTTCAGTTTCTATAAAGTCTGTATATTCTCAATTGTCTCTACAATTATCCAAAGAAATTTTACAAGCTCGTGTCTACTACATCCAAAATTCACCATAGTACTCTAATATCTCATCTAAAAATAACGATGTCACCTCGACGAACAATGTTTCCAGAACCACAAATGAAACCCCTATTTCCTCTTCACTGTTCCAGGTGGTGAGCTCAATGGACGCCATGAAGTACTCGATGGAGGCGGATAAATATCGCGCCACGTACATGCCACCCAGTACCTTGGCGATGAGTATGTACTCCGACCCGAAGTACCTGGACTCCAGTCCGAAATCTTACCTAGACCGGAGCTACCTGGACTCGGCGAAGGCGTATTTTGAGCAGTCTAAGCTCTACATGGATCAGAAGCCCTCGATAACCGACTACAATCGACCCAGTTACGAGCACAACAAGCTCTATGAGGAGTCTAGCCCCGGTAGCGTGGTGGGCGGGGGAGGATCGACGAGGTCACCGGCTGCAGAATCGCCGGACATGAGCAAACAACACGAGAGGACCGAGCAGGGCTCGTCAAGCGCCAGCTCCACGTCGACATCATCAGCTGCGAGTCCTGGAGCCAGTCTCCCGGCCTATTACCCAGGTCCAGTACAGAGTAGCGGCCTGCTGGGAGCACAGATGAGCCAATACGGAGGCTACCAAACCGCCCCCACACCTGGGAACGAGTCCTTCCGACGACCTCTTACGGTCATCTTCTGACCCGATAGAACGTAGCTCTGATCCTTCTTCGAGGAGCAGTTTCCGTAGAGTCTGGTTCGACCCTCTGGTCCGAAGGTGTCCGAGGAGCTGTGAAATGTGATTGTTTATTGACATTTAGGTTTGTGACGTTTGAATTGTGTCGGTTCGGTGATGTCTGCAGGGTGGATGCTGAGAAATAAGGGTAGTGAAGAGTTGGGCTACAGCTGGGCTTCCTTGACATATCAAACTGGACTGTTCAGAACAATTTGCAATAGTGATAGTTGAAGATCAAACTTTGAACTTGAAATGCAAAGTACTTTGGGTCTTCAAGACCACTTGTTATCGTCAATTTCAGAAGAGCTTCTTCTTCAATCAGATATGTTACAAACATATGATAGATTGAAATAATACTTGCTGGAAAGATGAACAGAGATTCCTTGAATCATCGGTTCACCAATGTTCAAGAGGTAGCTAAGTCTGAGCCCTCCAGAAAGGAAGCATCAAACATCATCATCAGGAGTGAAGCTTCTAGATCCCCTGTACGGCCATGATCTTAGGAACTCAGCATCGGGAACCGGACAAAATGGCGGACACCAGAGGTGACTCTCGGACCAGCGAAGAGGACCACGTTTACTTCCTCCGCGAAGTGAATCCAGGGCCACCAACGGTACACAGCGTTGACAGCAACAACGAAATCGAATCGCTCCGTTCTAATCACTCGTAGACGCGGAGAGAGACGCAACGATTATTTGTCAGAGATAGTTCCCGTCGATGCGGACGGAATGGTACAGAGAAATTGTACATAGTCCCCGTGTAAATAGTGTAGCAAGGATTATTATCGCGCAGGACGCTCGAAAAAGCGATTTTCCTTCAGCCCCATTCCCCGACTCGCCCTGGAAACGTTCCAGCTGCCGAGCACGCGTATCCAGGATACCTTTCCTCAGATCCAGGACCTCTTCCGCCTTCGATCATCGAAACTGTTTGAGTAAGTCATTGATTTTCTATCGGTAGCTGTATTAACACTTTGCCTATCGGAGCCTATTAACGCTTTAACAACGAGAGCCTCCATATTGATAACGTCACGCTTATGTATCCGAAGTTTAATACGATTGACTCAATTATTAATTGATAACGTTATTACGTTATTTCAGTGCTAAAGAACGATTGATTAATTCTTTTCTGGTACTTAAAATTTCAATACATAATCTGGCTTCTTATGGATGTCTTTCAGTTATACAAATTTTCGTTGACAAAGGGTTAATAGGATCCTTAATGTCTGTTCTATATCAAAAAGTATCTTGATCGGAAGACATTGTTATGTTACTCTAATATAATTATACAAATTTTTTATTTCGAACCGTTAATTGTTAATATGGTAGGTGAAGTGTTAAGCCGCGTCCCCAATATCTTAGCCTTGCCGCTTGAAAAGCACATAACGAAGCACACAAACCACATTCCGTACGTTCCCAGAACACAAAACCGTATGAAAAAGTCCAAGACGGTGTAGACTCTGCTTTAGGGTACGCACACTCTGATAATCAAAGCCTTCACTGTGGTCCAATAATTTCCACTGCAAAACCTATCTTCGTCGCTGTTAAAAAATGAAAAAGGAAAGATATAAAAATGAACCTAACATCTTTAAAAAATCGAAAAGAAATCATTCCTTACTAACATCCACATCACCGTGCGACGAAGATACCCCAGACAATGGAAATCATTGAACCACGCTGTACAATTTCCCTATAACAAACTTAACAAAGCGGGACGAGAAAAACGGTGACAGTCAAGTGACAAGAGCCCGGTACAGCAGATTAACCATCAGGTTCGACGACGGAGGGTACCGGAACCGGAGAAAGGAGAACGCGTTTTTCGTGCGTACGTTCGATTCGTAATCAGTGTACATAGACGGCTCGGATCGTCGACGAAATTCTATCGCGTCCGGTGAGCATCTCGGTCCTCGACGTCGGTGGCTGGCGGCGGTCGTTCGGCAACTCGTCAGACGCGTCTAGACACCCTTTCCTCTATCCATAGATACGATGTGCGTGTCACGAGCGCGGCTTGACATGCGTGTATCTCAGTGTATCGGTTCGAGTTAACTCGTTCGCTCTAAACAGCGTATACATGCACGTATACATGGTCGAATAATCGTTCGCTCGCGTAAAACGAGTGTATACCATCCTGTCATCTAACAATTTGCAACAAATGGAACGTTGCGTTCTTAATGGCATCGTACACAGTGTTTTATGTATCACCGTCTTATGTATTCGACATCATGTATCAAATGGACGCGTTTCATGCATTCGTCTCTACCGGCTCGCGAGCAACACATTCTGTACACGGAGACCACGTGTTCCTGCGAGCACGCCGGAGCGAAAGGGTTGACGAATCTCCCCTCTCTTTGTACTCCATTTGGCTTATTTATTATCGAGCTTCCTTTGTTTTTGTTTTACATGTTGATTACTTGAGTTTCTCCGGACTCGGAAGCTCGAAATACGGGGGAGCGTTGGAAACGAAACCGGTGACGCCGATCGCTGTCCCAGTGGTCTTCAAATGATCCTTACCGTCGCCGACGCGGTAACGTGGGGATCGAACGGCAAGGATCATTTGAAAACCCGCCGCTAGAAAACGCGTTTGTAAAATATCGTTTTCCCCTTCCTGGATCGATACTTCTCGCCTTCGGCCCGAGTTTTTTTTCTGTTTTTTCCACCGGCGAGGGAATACTTAGTGCTCCCGAACCGGTTGATTCCTCGTTGTTTCGTCTGTTTTCTTTTTGTTTTCAGTTTTCTAGTTGATGTTCTATCGGACGACTTTGCGAGGAAGAGAGTCGACACGAGAGCTTTTATAGGTGTTTCACGCGAAAGAATGCGAGAGAGCAAAAGAGTGGGAGAGATACGGACGGAAGAGTGAGAGAGAGTGTTTTTTCGGACGCTTTGGCGGAACGTTCACGCCCTCCCCCATTGTGCGACGTGTAACCTTTGTATTTGTATCGTTACGATAAATCTTACACAATGTACCAATTATTCGATTATTACAATTTAACGCGGCAGAAGTAACCTATAAATATTGTATTCTAAGTGAGAAAGCAAAATAAACGTTAAGTATTATCCTTCGAAGGCACGATCGTCGTCTAATTGCTCGTAATCCCTTGTTGCCACACCACCTGTTTATATCTTCTGTCTCTTTCTTCATTCTTCTTACTTAATTCCATTTTTACATAGAAACTTATTATAACACCTAGATACTCGATTCTGGCCTGAAATCTTAGCCGCAAGATCACTTAATCAACTAAAAACGAATGAACTTGTTTCCAAGAAAATTTCAAGCGAAATGTCAGATTTCAGCGATGAAAACAAGGCGCACCAGATAGATCTCGATGAAACACGTTCGGTTCCCGATACGAGGGGCCCGAACAATACGCTCGGAGTCCGAGGATCCGACACGAAATCCAAGATCGGCATTCCGAGGACGGCCAGGCCCCGAAAATCCCCGGAAACAAAGAACGTCGGTCCCGGCGTTCTCGGCCAAGTTAACTGTGCACAATATCTATCGAAATCTGACACGCGGTCGAAGCGTGAAGTTGAAAAAGTGGCAGGAAGGTTCGCCGGGTTGCGGCTCATTGTCGGATTACGAAAAGCGACAGCTGCGATCGCGGCTGCTGTGCCGTGATCCCTGGATCCATTCATTCGTTTGCACCTCTGCGACACCTTCTCCGGCGACGTCCGAATCTTGCGTTCCTCTGTGGTTGCACGATTCCGTCGACGGTGAAAGGAACGGTTGGGATTTGTGAGAAAGTTCTCGGACGGATCAGCCTCTTTTCTGTGAAACGGTGGCTAAGAGATCCGCTGGATGAAACGTACGAAATTTAAAAAACGAAGACTAGCCGTTACCTATTTAAGCAGCACTGTTTAGAATTAGAGTATCAATTGTACCTAACAACCTTAAATATTCTTTTTCAATTTTTATCAAATTTAATCCCCTATTGACATTCGTTAAGGACGAATCATTGTTTCTAAAACTACCCCCTCGAAACATAGAATAGGACAATATCCCTCTAACAGTCCTACAAACCAGCGCAAGCTCCAAACATTCATATCAACTCCACAAACTCGCATGCAATACAAACCTCTTCAAACCTCAATCCCCATCGAAACGCTCCTCAAACACCTGATCTTACGTAAGCACCCCCAATCCTATCATCCCACTAACTGTCATCGCAATCAGCCGACCAAACGGCCGGAATCATCGGTCCCACCACGATGGAAGCAAAGTGTCGAAAGCTGTCTATTGGCGGACACCAGCAGCCAAGGCCTCGAAGCATAAAAGAGGAAAGGTAACGAGCAGTTAGACGACTTGGCAGGGGTCTGTTGGCCGGCAGCAGCAGCAGCGACGGCAGGAGCAGGAGCAGGAGCAGCTCGTTTGTTTGCGGCTGGTAACTCGATAAAAAAGAGCAGCGGCCACGGTAGCCCGGCCTCCTCCCAGCAATAATGAGTCGGCGCTCGTGAGAACGGTGATTACCGACTTATGCACGCCTCTTGCCGCGACAAACTGACAATTTTCACCATCATTATCCTCTCGAGGGCCCCCGCCATTGTTTCTGATCACTGGAGAGCCATTATGCTGTCGAGACGCCGCGCCAGCCCGGGCTGCGGCGTATATAAGCGTTCGCGCGCCAACAACACGCTCTCCCCAGTCACCGTAGGCCTCTCTCCTGGACCCCGGGGCAGGAGAGGTGGCTACCTTCTCATTAAATCCATTATACCGAGTGAGCAGCGATGAACTCGAGCCGAACGCGCCCGTCAACCGCCGAGCGCGCGCACCTTTCCTCTCCACGCCGGTTAGACAGATCGTTTAGGTGGAATCTAAATCATCCCGCGCTGTCCTCCCTATCCCTTTCTCTCTCGCACACACTCGGCGCGTCCTTCGGCCGACCGGGTGAGCCTTCCTCCGAGGACGTTCAACCCCGATGCACCGTAACCTCTCACGACTTCATTAGTACCTGTTGACTTTGGAATGCTCCGCTTAGAGCGGGGCCACCTCCCGCTGCCAGACTCGGATTCGGTTTTTTGTCGGTTTCCTGATTCCAGGCCAGAATAGGAGTCCGGGGAGAGCTGATAGGGATTTGATCGCGGGGATCACGGCCGGCTTTTGTTGCGCGGTGGGGTTTTAAGTGGTCCCCGCGAAGTCCTGTTACGACACTATCGATGAAGAGCAGCGACGCTGTGAGGATTCGCTCCGCGGGAGGCGCGGTGATTTAAGATGGCGTTGGGTGACCTGGTTTTCTGCGGATATTTTGTGGCGATTCTTTTCTTCGACGAGGTGTTGGACGTTTTTATTGAGTGACGGAGTACTGAGATCAGTAGGTAGGCGAGTTTTTGGTTGTGTCTGCTGTTCCTTTTATTTTGCAATGGTACCGTGACCTTTGATTAACCCTTCTTGACATGGATTTTTCTACACAGATTCTTAGAAAGTTAAAAGTACAATATAGAGTTGTCATTAGGTAAAGGTGTATGTAACAATATATTCTCGACGAAGAATGTCACAGCAACGTATTCCTTTATCAATCTCAATACTTATATTTTCTATCTCATAATCGAGAACTCGTAGACCCGTCAAACGTTAGAAAAATGTCTGCTACCGTATATTCGAAAGAACCCGAGCCACTTTCCCAGGTGATCGGAACAAGTTACAACATCCGATAAGACACCCGTGACGAAGGTCCTTGAATGTTCTCCTCGGTCCGAGCATAGAGACAAAGTCTGCCGAGGATTGCGTCAACGTCATCATCCGTGGAACAGGTTCCCGTGGCCGGGCTGAAACGTGTTCAGCCGTTCACTTTTTCGTCTCTCGTTAGAAATCACCGCGAATCGGCCGTTGATTGTCTAGGATTCGGCTACCGGTGCTCGACGGTGAAACGACGGACAATTTAATTACTAATTATACGTCCCGTCAGTCCTGGTACGACGCCGAGAATCGAAGCCGGTCGACAGCCAGCCTGCCCTCCCTCTCTCCTCACTCCACCACTCATCGCTGTTCACCGTTCAAAAGACGCTACAGACAGTTTTCTCATTAAATTCATTATAGAACGACGAGCAACGAGTTTGAACGAGTGCCTTTCGCCGGTTATATACCTTAAATCACTTAACCGGAATGTAAATCAGTCGCTCGTCCACCACCTCACGGCTTCATTAGCGTGGATCCGCCATTGGCATTTCGAGCCTCCGCGCCCGCGGGGCCTCTACTTCCGGTCGGTCGGGTCTCCCCGCTCGAACTTGAACCATTCTGAAGGATTAATTACTTTCGACGTAATTTCAACGCGAGACCATCGCCGGGATATTATGGTATTCGCGTTTAGGCCCTCCGTTGGCCATCTACGCTGCGGCGACGGAAAAATATGCAACGGGATTGAAATTATTCGTACGGATCTTGTTAGCGACGATTCGAGGAAATTATCTGCTCATTTGAAGTGCCTCACTCTAGATGCGGCCTGGATATCGGGGTTAGGTTTCGCAACGGCAATCGTGGTTCGTAAACCTCGAGTTTCACCCTTAACGACGGATTATGAATTTTTTGCCCTCCTCGGTTTCCTTTGGATTCCTTTTTCCTAGTTCTTTAAATATCTATTTTTAATTTACAAATTTCTGCCCCGCTTTGCAGCATTTAGTTTATTATTTCCACTGAACATGCTAATTTATTATTAATAATTCATGATCAGAACACATGTCTCGTGGAATTTATCGCTACAATGTTAACAGCGTCACTGTCAAATTGTTTAATAATTCGAATAATGCAGCTCAATTTTACCTCACCTGCCATACCGCTCCCATCTCCGTCAATCACGCGCCCCTGTTCAGGCAAACGCGTTTTACACGAGCGGTCCCGATACGAGCCGCGAACGGTATAATTAATCGTTGATCATTGTTCCTGGAGGCTGCCGGGAAACTCGTTGGGTTCAGCCTCGAATTGAACCCTGCACTCGAGAATCGACTCCATCGGCTCTGTTCCTTCTCCCGCCTTCTTCTCGAATTTCTTTCAGCAACCCGAGGCTGCCACGCACCGGAAGGAATTACATCGACGGTATTATAGGTCTGAGGGTGCGATAATTGGTTGAAGTAGGTCGCGCATATTTTTATTTAGTGATTCACATGAAATTATGGAATCCTGATTTTCACTGGATCAGGTAGATCGTTTTATTACACCTTAATGTTGTAGACATCTGAAAGAAGCCTAAATTTTCTTCAATGGTAATATTAATGCAATAATATTCAATACAAATATATTTTTAGTGATGCTTCATTATTAAATTTTTACACTTTAATGTATACAAGCTGCGAAAGAAACAGAATTTTAATATTTTAGGAAGGAACATTTAGATACGCTGAAATTCTCGACAGTTAAGGGTTAAAGTTGATCAAAGAAAATCGGGCGTGTTCCAATTAAAGACTCTATAGAAAACACTATTATTAATTTGAACAAAAAAGTTCACGTCAAACGAATGCTTCCGTCAGTGATTGTACGCATGAGAATACAAAAAAAGGAACAGGTGTCACGATCGGATCAGAAAGTTTTTGCCATTCGATGTTGTGTCGCACAATTTACGCGGAATTAACCGGAGTGTTGAACTTGCGGTTCACAGCACCGGCCCCGACACGTGCGTGACAATTCGGATTAAGCAGAGACCGTCAGCGATCCGTGAAAAATGGCGCCAATAGCCAGCGAATTTCGGTCGTTCGTGTGGTCCGGAATCTCGTCTTCCATTTTGTGTTATTCTCCTTCTCCGGCAACAAAACTCGGAACATCGTGATTTCTGCAGTGTGTAACAACGCGGGCAAAAGAAACATGCAAAATAAAACACCTATCAATTTTATTTCTGACCGGTTACCTAATGAAATCATCCGAAAACTGTTGAAATTCGCGTTACAAAGTAACCGAACATATATAAATGGGAATCTGTGCTGGAATAAATTTTTGTAACTGCTTCGGAGAATAGATTTATATTAATAGAATGTTCCTGTTCCCAGAAATTTAAATTTGACAATCGATAAATTGCGAATTACAGAGCTCAAAGGGCGTCGACGCGCGAATATTTCGTGCCAACGATCGACTCGCGT